GATGATGATGATGATGATGATGATGATGATGATGATGATGATGATGATATGCAAGGTCTCGCTTTGTCCTCTCCCTCTCTGCACATGGCCTTCCATGGAGACATATGTCTCTGTAGGTCTCTCCTGTAGAGGCAATGTCCTCATACTCCCCCACACACATTATGTCAGATTATCTGGCTATTTGTGATCGGGAAAGTACTCTTTAGATTAGGCTTCTCTCTCTGCTTTCAACTGCAACCTGAATGTGAACTAAACATAACTTTTATCTTTTTTGCAATATACTTCTTGGGAGATTTATTTACCACACTCAGTATTATGCTTCTATTACTGGGCAAAACTCTGCTACTTTAACCAAATACCCCAGTACAGACAATACGGTTATGGAACATATTTCTTTCTGTACCTCAGGAAACAGACTGAAAGGTCAAGATGGGAAGGTAAGACCAAATGGTGTGAACACATTCGGAGGGGAAAATTACATGATGCTGTTTAACCCTTTCTCTGCCCACCATTTCTCCCTTTCAAATGCCTTCCCCTGACTAGACAATTAATTTGCATTTCTCCCTCAGCCATGTGCCAAGATTGGAATAAAGGGTATTTGTCAGGGAGAAACAGAAGCTGAGGGAGGCACCATCCTGCCCACTGATGTTCCCCCTAGAAATGCACCCACACCTGTGTTAACTGGAAACTGTATTTAGGGAGACAATGTTTGATGGCATTGTTGGAGTACGGCGACTCAGCTTGCCTGGATGGGGTGGGGGTGGGGGTTCCACTGCTGTAGATGTGTATACGTGTTATCTCCTTCATGAATGGGATGCCTCTCTATGCCTAACCGGGGAGCTTCTCTCTGACTCCTCCTTTTCTTCCTGGGCCCTTTGTGTTCTCTCTGAAGTTTTTCGCACAAATGGTCTCCTTGCTCCTGCATTTGTATTCCTCTGCCACTTTCTTTCATTTCCGCAGAGGTATTTGCAGTCCGAGGAGCAAAAATGCAGTTTGCTCCCTCTTGTGGCGCAGCAAGGGAATTCCTGGAAACAGGGAAGTCTGATGCTGTGTTGCAAGAGAGGAAAAACTGCGTTTTTGCACCTCAGATTGCAAATACCTCTGCGGAAATGTACAAAAGAGGCAGAGGAATAGAAATACAGGAGTGGGGAGACCTATTTATGTGGAAAACATCTCTCTTTCCTCGTGGATCTGCAAGGAGTAGGACATATCTACAGGTTGCTCTTCTAGAAATCACGCCATTTTACTTGCACACACATGCAATTAGCTGATCACTTTTGATGGGAACTGTATTCTTCAGACCAGACTTCTCTCTCTCTCCTTTCAACTTCAGCTTTCAAAGGGGATTAGATAGATTTATGGAGGATAAGTCTACCAGTGACTACTAGTCATGGTGACTGAAGGGAACCACCACATTCAGAGGCACTAAGCCTCTGAATCCCAGAGCCAGGAGGCAACATCAGGGGAAGGCCTTGGCCTCCATGCCCTATTGTTGGCCCTCTGGAGGAAGTGGTTGGCCCCTGTGTGAGACAAGATGCTGGACTAGTTGGAACATTGGTCCGATCCAGCAGGGCTCTTCTTATGTTCTTAGGAAGGACTCCACCTCTATGCCTTATTGTTGGTTGCCCAGTGAACTGGTTGGCCACTGCGTGAGACAAGATATTGGACTAGATGGACCACTGGTCTGAGCATGCCTGGACAGGGATTGGTAGGTGGGGATTACATTGCTGTAGATGCGTCTATGTGTTATACACATCTTCTTGTGTATATGCAACATGGGAGTGAACTGAATCTGCCACAATAAATATGTCTTTCCTTTTTGCAATATATTTGTTTGGAGTTTATTTACTACACGTGACACCTTGCTTCTATGAATGTGCAACTTTGCTGTATTAACTAATGCATATCCGCAATAGTTATAATATGTATTTTCACCCAAAGCAGATTGCTATAGGCTGTTATTGCTCTTTCAAAACCTATATATATGCCTATTAGAAATTATTTTCAATGAGCACAGGTAAAAGGATTATTTCCTACCATGAGTTCAGGAGGAAATATATAATCTTGGGTTGGGTCCCTGGGCTGGAAGTCTTCTGGCCGGCAGAGACCTGAACACATCTTAAGAAAAAGAAATTAAAGTCCAACATTAGTACTTATGAACACTGGAAAACCAAGATACCCCTGCAAAGCACTACACTCAAGTGACAAAAACCTTCTGGTGATCCTTGGCCCCAAGACTGTCTGACTGTTTTCAACCAAAGCCAAGGGCCTTTTCAGCCCTGGCTCCGACCTGGTGGAACACTCTTCTCCTTCATACCCGGGCCCTGCGGGATCTAAAGCAGTTGTTGTTCCACCAGGCGTATGGTTAAGGGCAGCAACAGTTTCCATCTGGATTGGCCTCCCCCCTTCTCTTTCTCCCCTTTCCCCTCCCCCCTTTTTCCTTCATACCAGACAGTTTTCAGATACTTACACCCCTTGAGATGTTACGCCATCTATTAGTAGTGTTGTTGGTTGTATTTTATCATTTTTACTGTGTTTATTGTATTAGAAATGTGAATGTTTTAGACTGCATATTGCATTTTATCATGTTGTTACCTGCTCTGAGCCCGTTTGCGGAGGAGGGCAGGCTATAAATCTAATGAAATGAACAAACAGGCAAACTAATAAGATCTACATTTGAAAAGTTTCACCTTCACATACCGTTGATCTGAATAGCTCTGAGTGCTCAAATGTGCACACGGGCCTCCTGACGTGTAAGAACTACTTCATTCTCTTCTTTCCATTGGAAGAAGCAACTGCCTTTCAAGTAGCCTGCATTGTTTTATTGCCAAATGCTGTCATTTGTTCTTTGTGATGGCCCACAAAATGCTCAGTCTCTGGTGACCCCTCTGTCCATTTACCCTTGCTGATGTGCAGGGGAGGGGCTGTGGACCAGTGAAAGGGCCTCTGCTTTGTGTGCAGGAGGTCCCAGGTTCAATCCCTGACATCTCCAGTTTAAAAGGACCAGCTAGTAGGCAATGTGAAAGGCCTCTGCCTGGAGAGCTGCTGTTGGTCAGAGTAGACAATACTGACCTCGATCGACCACGAGTCTGATTCAGTATAAGGCAGCTTCATCATCTATGTTCATCTGTGAAACCCATGGGGAAGCAGTCACAAGCACATTGCTGCTACATGCTTAAGTACTCTTCATGTGTTGAACACATGAAGCTGCCTTATACTGAATCAGGCCATAGGTTCATTGAAGTCAGTACTGTTTACTCAGTCTGGCAGCAACTCTCCAGGGTCTCAGGCTGAGGTCTTTCACATCACCTACTGCCCTTTTTAAAAAATTGGACGTACAAGGGATTGAACCAGGGACCTTCTGCATGCCGAGCAGATGCTCTACAGCTTAGCCACAAAACCTCTCCATGCTCTCCAGGGTCCCAGGCAGAGGTCTTTCACACCACCTCCTGTCTTGTTCTTTTTTAAACTGGAGATACATGGGATTGAACCAGGGGCCTTCTGCATGCCGAGCAGTTGCTCTGCAGCTTAGCCACGAAACCTCTCCATGCTCTCCAGGGTCTCAGGCAGAGGTCTTTCACACCACCTCCTGTCTTGTTCTTTTTTTAACTGGAGATACATGGGATTGAACCAGGGACCTTCTGTATGCCGAGCAGATGCCACAAAACCTCTCCATGCTCTCCAGGGTCCCAGGCAGAGGTCTTTCACACCACCTCCTGTCTTGTTCTTTTTTAAACTGGAGATACAAGGGATTGAACCAGGGACCTCTGCATGCCGAGCAGAGACGCTACCACTGAACCATGCCCCCTCCCCAAATCCTTGTTCATTTTTATCCAGCCACCCTAACCTTTCATGGGTTTTATGGTGAGATGTCTCGGTGCCCTCTTCCTACCTAAGCTTTGCATCTTCAAGTCTGAGTTGCAAATATCCACAAAGATAATGCAGTTAATGGCACTGATGGGTAATAGAAACCCATTGTGCAGACAATGTCAACGTTATTTGAATATGTTCTACCAACTTTATTAAGTGTTGCTGTTAATCTCTTCCAACTGTGTTATCTTAACCTAATTTTAAACTATAATCAAACTGTCAGCAAAGTGGTATATTGCCAACTCAGAATTTTCTCAGCCCGGATTAACTATAGAAATCAGCAAGCACCTGGATTCTTGGGCAGGAGTTAGGGAAAAGAAATAGCTGCATTTGCTGCGTTGCACTAGGGTGTGGTGAACATATTTTATCTAGCTTCTGTTGGAGAAAGGCAATTTAACTAAAGAATTAGATTTCACACTCTGTGCTAATCAAACAGCTTATTAACAGTTTATGACTCACAAAAAAACCCGTTTGTCAGAACATGTCTTATTATAAAACCGTTTGGGGAAGAAATAACGGGAATTGTTGAATAAGGGTTCTACTCAACTGCTAATCTACAACCTCTGTACACATATTTATTGCAGTGTAATGTACTGGGACTGAATCATTCCAGGTCTGTCACCCCAGAGACTGGCTGAGCTTGGAGCACAAGAACAATAGCCTACCAGGACTCTGAAAGTAACCAATCAAGTAGTAATGTTATGTAAACAGCCTATCACTGGGAGTGGGGTGTGTTTGGGTGTGGCAATTGCATGCTATTTAACAGAGCTGAGGCTCTGGAGTCTTGTCTTGCTCTTGCTGGAATCACAAAGTTGAGCTGATCACTGGACTCAAGCCTGCTCATCCATGGAACCCTCTATTTAACACGCAGGTTAGAACTGGGCACAGTATGAGAAGACAAGATTCGCTGGAAAAGACAATAAATACTAGGAAAATTTGAAGGCGTAGGAAAAGAAGAAGACCTAACATGAGATGGATGAACCCAATCAAGAAAGCCACAGCCTTGCCCTGAGCTGGATAGCCCAGGCAAGTCCAATCTTGTCAGATCTCGGAAGCTAAGCATGGCCAACCCTGGCAAGTACTTGGATGGGAGACCTCCGAGGAATACCAGGGCTGAGACGCAGAGGCAGGCAATAGCAAGCCACCTCTCCCGCTAGGGGTCACCAGAAGTCAACCATGACCTCAAGACACACACACACACACGTACGCACGCACGCAAAACACACACAAAAAAAATGTAACAAAGCCACAGCCTTTAGGTTGCGAGACCTGAGGCTGTTAATGATAGGACGTTTTGGAGGACATTAATTCATAAGGTCACCGTAAGTTGGAAGCAACTTGACGACACACAGAGCCAGTCTAATGAGATTTTGCTCAGGTGAAGATAGCTATCCTAGAAACTGTCTGTTAAAGACTTCCAAGGCTGGGTGATGTTTGGCAGATACGGCTTCCTCCTCCTTGGGCTACTGGTGGTCCAGAAGTCTCCTTAGAGGTTTCCTCACCTAGTGTGCAATAGAGCTGGAATGGCAAAACTTATGCAAGGCTACCACAGGAAAGCAGTATCCAGGGGATGTCTTCCCTAACGCTCTCACTGGGTCGTCTTGGCGCTGCCATCCTCTGCCCACCTCAACTGTAACTTCTCCAAATGCCCACATAAGAAGTCAGGTAAAGGCCTAGCATTTTTTAAGTTGCTCTGAGATGGATCAATGACAGGGTCTTAATGAGGTCAAACCCAGCCAACACACCAAAGGGGACACCATAGTACAGGACACGCTGCTAGACACAACATTTAGCCTGATTGCTCTTGATTTGCGCTGGATCAGAACTGAAGGGAAAAAAGCAGTCTCTAGTTGAGTGATCAAGAGAAGAAGAAATGGAGCATAGAACTAGAGATGGGGACGAACCGGCTCACAAATGAAAGTTCATGATGAATTTTGGCCGGTTTGTTGTTTGCTAACTGAAGTTCACAACATGAAGAGATGCCATGAACTTCCACAATTTTAAAAAAATATTTATTTATTTAAAAGTTATTATTTAGAACGTCCACAAATTTTAAAGCAGTTTTGTAGGCAGGTCGTGAAGAGCAGAAAGCAGGGGTTTAAATGAGAGGTGGGTAATAGCGGTGGGTAATAGAAGGCAGGGCTCACAAACTGATATGGACTGGTTCATGAGCCTCCTAGTTCATTTCAGTTTGTGGTTCGGCAATGAACCACGAACTGAAACGAAGTGCAAAAATGCAGTTCGTGCCCATCCCTACATAGAACCCAACGTTCTGAGGAATACTGTTGACAGATCTCACACATTGCCATGGTTTGAAGTGGTGTACCAAAGCTGGTGAGGAGTAGCAGGAGCTCTAGTGAGTGTCAAAATTTGGAGAGAAACAAAGCTGATAAATTTCTGCCATTGGCACTGATCTGCTTCACAGTTAATGAAGACCCAGCCTGAGCCTTTGCTGAAATGTCACCAAATACTTAATCGTTCTTGTTCCCACGAAAGGTTTTTCAACAGTGCCTTTACATTGTGGTATCCTGTAAACTAACGCAATGTTTTGGGAAGACTGTTACCATGTAGATCCACTTGAGAAGCCAGTCATATGCAACGGTTCGTCTATGTAGATCGGCTTTCCTCTCAGAACAGCAAACTGCCTTCTCCACATAGATTTGTATAATGTGGTGAAAATTGTGATTTTGACCCACAATGCACGTCAGTGCAGACAAACAAGTGGAAATGCTGACACACCCCCACACACACCCCCACACACATCAGTTTGGACAGTCAGTTGTTCATTCATGAGAGCACATGTACATGATTGGAAGTATATGTAGTAGATGCCAAGAAAAATGCTTGGGTCACAGCTGGTGCCACCATAACATTAAAAAAGCATCTTCATAGAAGTTGATGATTAACAGATCCCAGAGGGAAAACTTCGTATATGAAGGTTAACTTCAGCTCCAGAGACTCACTGGTACTCACAGAAGATTACAGAAGTTTCATGAAAACACGGAAATTAGGAGGCCACACTTTACCCGATCTCCTCTTTTAGGCTCTGGAGCTAAATATTCTTCTTTTTCTTTCCCCTTCTCATCTTCTTGATCCAAGCAACACTTTCCACTCCCTGCCAGGGGACAAGACTCCTGCAGAATGCAGTAAAAAAAATATGATAGCGACAGCTTCCAAGAAAGATCAGTACCAACTGAAAGCACATATTAGGATAGTCTTTTCTCTTTTTCTCTCTCTGTTTCTCACACACATGCACGCGTTGAGTTCTTTTATTAGATTTTCGTTTTTGGAAAACAAATTACTTTTAACAGTCTTTATTACAAAATAAAAGCAAATCCAGAAAACATACTGAAGGAATACTGACATAATTGTGACAGAAAGGCCAGTTCCTTGATGCCCCACTCCAAGTAAAGTAGCTCAGTAATCATATCCACTTTTATAACAGAATGCTCGGGATTATTAGGAAGGGAACTGAAAACAAATCAGCCAGTATCATAATCAGTGTTCCCTCTAAGCTGAGTTAGTGTGAGCTAGCTCACAGTTTTTTAGCCTCTGGCTCACACATTTTTGTCTAAGCTCAGGAAAGATGGCTCCACAGCAAACTAATGTATGCAGTAGTCAAATCACTCGCTCACAACTTTAATGCCGGTAGCTCACAAAGTAGAATTTTTGCTCATAAGACTCCACAGCTTAGAGGGAACATTGATCATAATGCCCCTGTATAAATTGATGGTGTGACCTCGTATGGAGTACTACTGTGTACAGTTCCGGTCACCACACCTCAAAAAGGATATTATAGCATTGGGAAAAGTGCAGAAAAGGGCATTTAGAATGATTAAAAGGGTTGGAACACTTTCCCTATGAAGAAAGGTTAAAGCGCTTAGGGCTCTTTAGCTTGGAGAAACGACGGGGTGACATGATCAAGGTTTATAAGATTATGCATGGGATAGAGCAGGTAGAGAAAGAAGTACTTTTCTCCCTTTCTCACAATACAAGAAGTCATGGGCACTTCTTGTATTGTGGTGGTGGCTACAAGCATGGACAGCTTCAAGAGGGAATTGGATAAACATCTGGAGCAGAGGTCCGTCAGTGGCTATTAGCCACAAGGTATAGATGGGAACTCGCAGTCTGGGGCAAGTGATGCTCTGTATTCTGGTATTTTTGGCAACTGTGTGACAGAGTGTTGGACTTGATGGGCCATTGGCCTGATCCAACATTGGCTTCTCTTATGTTCTTATGTTAATCCATGGACTCATTTTTATTAACCCTGTAAATCCTGGTGGCTCTTCGTAGAGACTCTCCAAAGGCCTCTGGCAGAGAGAACTAGAGAACAGTGTGGCATGCTGCTGCTGATTAATATTTATCATCATCATCATCAATAACAACAACAACAATAAGGTTTTAACTGCCCTCCCCCACCAAAGCAGGGCTCAGGGTTGTTTACAACATAATAACTCAGGATACATTATTAAAATATAAAAACCAATAAAACACAATAACTGACCTAAAAAGATGGAATTAAAAGTTTCAACAGTGCCACTGACTCATGGGGTAGGGGGAGTGCCAGAAGGATACAACCGTCGCTATCCTCAGTCAAATGTATGAATGTATCTCAGGCAAGGATTATGTTTTTCTTAATAGGCACTACTAATCTTTGCTTTTGACCTCAGGTGATACAAACCTTCTAGAACATTCTTCCTCACAGTCCAATCATACTATGTTCATAGCTCAGCTTCCTTCAGTTCCTTCCTTACACCAGAGGAAATGAGGTTCCATCTGTTACTTTGGCTGACCCATTTCCTTTACTCAGCTACAAATTGAACTGGTTTCCTATGGCATGAGTGGAAAAGCTTCTCCCTGTACCATTTTACCAACCTGAAATGACCCTAGGAAGCCCATTATGCCAAGGAGACAGGCATCCATATCAATACCTGTATTTTGGGTCCCAGGGGGTAAAATCAATGTCTTCCCAGTGCAGTTTCTGTCCAGGAAAATAGTGAGTGGGTAAGACTTAAAGCCCCACCCACATTCAGCGATGCTGTTCAGGCTGGAATCAGGCCCCCACATGCCCGATCTTTCAAGGGACAAAAAACACTGAGAACTCATTCACAGAACTCCCAGAATTTTATGTAATTGAGCCTTTAGACCAGGGGTCTCCAACTAGGGGACCTGTAGCACCCAACTAGGTGCCTGTAGCCAATAAGCTGTGGAGTCTTGTGAGCAAAAATCCTCCTCTGTGAGCTACTGGCATTAAAGTTGTGGGCGAGCGATTTAGTTCTGCATAAATTAGTTTGCTCTGCAGCCACCCTTCCTGAGCTAGGACAAAAATATGTGAGCCGGAGGATAAAAACCTGTGAGCTAGCTCACACTAACTCAGCTTAGAGGGAACACTGCCTGTAGCACCCACCAACACCTTTCCTGGTGCGCGCCAAGTGTGTAAGACCGGGGGGGTGGGCTCTTGCCTAGCAAGGGTTCTGATGGGCCATGGGAGATTTGATCAGTTGTGCAGATTTTGTTTAAAAAACATTGTTATGACAGCAAGAGGACCTTCACTGTGTGACTGAAGGTAAGCTGTCACACAGCTGCTTTGTGGCTGGTTCCACCTCCTGCAGCAGCTGCTTTATGGGCAGCCATTTCGTGGATATGCCCACCATGCTGGGTCAGAATTCCAAAAGTGCCCACAGGCGTAAAAAGGTTGGGGACCCCTGCCGTAGACCTCCCTCCTTTATCTGAGATTCCGCAGACAAGATCTTCTAGTGCTCCCACTTTCTAAAATGGAGGAAACATTCCTCTTTTCATTCTGCCTGCCTGGTCTTAAAATAACCATAACATTCTGAAGAGAGACATCAGTTAATATTTCCTTTACTTTCTCGATTTAAACCCTTGGATAATTATCTGAAATTTGCAGCTACTGTGCTGCTGAAATATTCGTCGGAGGACACCAAGAAGTCGGTAACCTTGGTAGTAGCAAAATATTGGTTTTTTAGTAATAAATAAGTGGAAGTGGAAGCACAGGTTGCGGTCACATGAGCCAGAAAAAACAGGGGGCTTTCTCGATTTAAACCCTTGGATAATTATCTGAAATTTGCAGCTACTGTGCTGCTGAAATATTCGTCGGAGGACCCCAAGAAGTCGGTAACCTTGGTAGTAGCAAAATATTGTTTTTTTAGTAATAAATAAGCGGAAGTTTTTAACAAAAAGCACAGGTTGCGGTCACACGAGCCAGAAAAAATGGGGCGGGGGGAGGGAAGCGAGGCTATTTCCTCCGGAGGAATTTGACCCGCAGTTGCACGATCACACCGCCCTTTGAAACTGCGGGCGCAGTCCGTCAGTGCGTAATCAGATGCAACTGTGGGTGAGCTGTGGGGGGGTTTGTGCTATTCCCCCCCCATATGCTTAACCGAGGGATCGATGAATCGCACCTCCACACCGAGGGCTCCCTATCGAGTTTGTGTGGTGGAGCAGAATGGGTTGCCAACGACTGTAGGGTACTTCCCAGATGTTGTTGTCTGATCCTACCCTTTAAATCCACCTGGCATTTGCACCTATGTTGGGTCTAATTGTGCATATGATCGCAGCCACAGACTGAGGGAAGTTCTCATCTGGGATTTAGAATTTGGGGATATGATTACGGTTTTAAAGTAGACGGGGATTGTGATCGTACTATTTTATTTTTGTACTGCTGGTCAATTGGGCTTAATAAATTTGAAATTGAAAATTGAAATTGAAATTAACCATAACAGAATATACCGCTGAAGCAGCACCTGTAGTACTCAGCTGAAGAGCTACTTCTAGACCAGCAGGATTCAAACAGCCATTTTATAATGAACAAAGTTTCAAACAGCATCGCACAATTAGACCCTTATTTGGCATATCAAGACTTTATTGGCAAGTGGTGGCCTGTATTAGAACGATTAAACTGTACTACCTATGGTAAGAGTTCTTTTAATTCACACAACAGTTATGAATTTATGAGATCATAGTATGATCTAAATGTTCTAATTTTCTATTCTGGAAAACACTTGTTTTATTGTACCAGACATGAAACTTGGAACTATTGTTGTTATTCGTTATTATTTGTTGTTATTGTTCTTGAAAAATAATAAAATTGTTTTTAAAAAATGATTCAAACAGCCAGGTAAATTGCAGAATATGCCCTCGGATCCAGTTACAGAAGCATTTATCATGCAATGGAAACGTCGAAATTCTACAAAGTCTACAGTTTCATGCACAGAATCCCATTTTTCAGTTTGGTGTAGTAATATCCCACCCTACCTATCTCTTTTCAG